ATGCAGTACTAATTCTTAGATACAGTACTTTTCTCAGTTTCATGAGATAAAATTAAAACGTGTTTTTAGGACCAGTAATGAATTCTTTCAAAGAAAATTCATTTTCTATTTCTCCTGCAATTGCCAAAGTTCATCGTCCAAATGAGCATGCCAAGAGGACCTCCTATATACGGAGCCTCCTATATCCTCCTATATTGGGGCTATAAGAGAACTATATTACAAGGAGTTACAATGTGATTGGCAAATTTTATGTATCGTCTTTAGTATGGTGGAGGGTATAAAAAATAAATATTAGTCCTTGTTTTAGTATAGTTCTCATATAATCTGATTTATTACTGGATGAATCTCATATAACCTGCCGATTTGAAGTTCCTTTTTTTCCTAAGGGATCATTTCCAATTTTTATGAATTGCAAAATCGCTGCAGCCGTTCTTCATTTCTTCACTTATAAGCATTTACATTCAAATATGTGGTATTTAGTATAATGAAGATTTCAGACATTTTTTAATCAAATGCTATGCCATTTTTGGGATCTTAATATAAATCCAATTTTGGATACAGCTCTAATTTAGCGATCCCACCCCATATTCGGCATTTTGCAAATATTTTCAAATAGTAGGTGTCTAAGTACCGTATAATTTTTCCAGACAAATTATAAAATGTTTATCAATAACAGGTTTTATTTAGGTATTCAGAGGAAAAATATTATATGCAGAATAAATGAGGGAGGGAGAATAAATGAGGGAAATAAGAGGGCAGTATTATTTTTACGAATTATGTATTACCCAATACAGTGGTGGATACAAAATTTCTTGATAACCTCAGCCATTAGTTGAGGAAGCAGCCGAGGAGGAAATGACCGTCATAAGTCAAGATGATATTCGAGGTAATTTCGGATAGTTGTCATTCATTTCAAGGCCCCAATCTGCAAGGAGCGATGGTGTTAACGATAGGCCGATTTGATTTCTTGTGTTAATTGAACTTTATAAACCCAAGTCTTGAAAGTATGCTTAATTACCGTTTAGTAATGTAAAATTCCAAAGGACGACGGGAAATTGAAACATCTGGATATTCTTTCACGACGACCCAAACATTCTTTTGCTTTGTTAACTGGGATTATAAAATGTTTAACATTTCTATACCCTCAGCCGTATGCCTAAAGATGATACAAATCATTAGCAATCATTAGCAAACCTTCCCTTATGGTGCCCCTAAAAATGGTAACATTTGGCAAAATTATAAAAATTGCATATCTCACAACGAGCAAAGGGAAGATATTTGGAAAATGGTAAATATCGGTTTACTGACTCCGGTACCTCCTACACAAAGGATCCAATATTGATATTACCATATAAAGTAGACAATTAATTTGAGATTTTATTCAAACTTTGTACTTTCAAATACATCTATCAGCCCTAAATCTAGAGCAAAGATGGCCAACATCGAACGACTTATTCTGGCACCTATCCTGCAAAACACTGTTAACTCTATAAAATGTAGGTTTTGGTTAAGCTTCATGCATCGTAATATTTGTATTAGAGCTAGACCAGGTCAGAGGCTTTCAAATTTGCAAAAAATTGGATTATCCTTTTTTTCTAAAATGTAAATTATTTTCTGTAAAAAATTTACCTTTTAAAGGAGAAGTACTAGAATGATTAAACCAATATTGCCCATCTCCGAATACGATCTATATTTGATAATAATATTACGAAGTACAAAGTGTGGACCAAATTGGATACTACCTTCGAGAGTTTTTTTTTTTTTGGTTTTTTTCTGTTCGGTGCACTTGACAGACTATCTCAAAAATATTCAGTACAACAAGTGCCTGCAAATTTTGGCAACGAAAAGGCCCCTTAAAATTTATTCCAACGATTCGTGCTAGGCCTTGTTAGTATTAAAATGCACAATTTGTGCTGTTTGAGAAAATTTTTTAATCAAAACTTCATATATCGTAATAAAATTTTAGAATTTCTAGGTTTTAAATATTTGCAAGATTTTTTTTTTCAGAAGGAATAACGAGAAAATGTTTACCTTTTATACCAAAAAATCTTCTAACTCTTCCATTTTGAAGTTTACAGAGGAGGAGGGGGGATATTAGTAAAAGAATCGCATAATGGACCGAAGCCAATTGTTTTATCCAAAGCTAATATAGCCATATGTAAGCTATAGAAACAAACAGCTATATTTTAGCTTTATAATCTCCTTCATTACCAAATTTAGTTCTATTTAGTACAACTATAGTACACAGTGTCATCCATGTCAAATTTCTGGATTCCCACTCTATTCCTTCACCCAATACCAAAAATCTGAAATCACCTCCAAATCTCAATCCGTATACCAACAAAGACCTCAATATCAAATTAGAAGCTCTATTTCTTCACCCAATAACACATTTAGTACTTTTCGAACAATTATAGTACACATTTCCAATATCGCCTCCATACCTCAACCACAAACGTCAACAGTGACATCAAATTTCAGGATTTCAGCTCTAGTCGTACACTCAATACCAAATTAAGTACTATTTGGTACTTTTTGGAAAATTATAGTACATATTTGCAAACCACCGCCAAATATTAAACACAAATACCATCAGTAACCTATCTACCTATCGATATTTAAACCTTCACTCAATTTTTGGAAATTGTACCCTTAGTATAATTATAATAGACATTTCCGAAACCACCTTCATATGTCCAGGACACTCTTGAATAGTACTCTTTAGTACTTTTTGTGCACTTGTAGTTAACATATCAAAAACCACCTTTTTATCACAAACCTTCAACCAACAAGAATCCCAATATCGAAACTTCCAAGTTCCAGCTCAATCCGTTCACCCTAACCTAACAGTTCCAAATTTAGTACATTTAGACACTAAGTACTTTTCAACCTTAGTTCTCATACCAAATTTTAAGTTTTTCTCTTTTCGTCCACACAGTAGTAATGAGATCCATTCTAAAATTTAATACAATGTTAGAGCCTTTTGTCACCTTAAAGTTCGAATTTCCCAAATCCTTTGATACATCTATCCTGCACTCCATTAGTGCCAAATTTAATAATTCCAGCTAATTCCTCTTGTCCAGTACAAAGTATTTAATTTTTAGTACGTTTCGTACCCTTTGGTAGATCTATCCTGCACTTTAACTGTGATTTTCATTCCAAATTTTTGAATTCTAGCTTATTTGTCCAACATGAAACCAGTAAGGAAAGTTAAAAAAAAAAAAAACATGGACAGACTGACTGACATGCATAAATCGTCTTAGAAAGTGATTTTATGATAATCTTCTAAAGAAACTGTTGGTCTATCTCTCTTCCTTCCCCATGTTACAAACAAATGCACAAAGACATAATATCCTTACCAGTGTGTAGGGTATAAATAATAAATTTAGTACGGATATCCAATACCCAATCTTATCACACGTCTACGCACCAAGACTGATCCTCGTGCAAAATTTCCAGATTCCAACTTGAGCCGTTTCGTGTGGATGTCGATTCTCAGTCACTTATTTCATTCCGAATTTATATTTTTCATTTTTGTTAAAAATTTGAAAATATATATTTTTTATGTTATTGGTTTATAGAGGTTGTACAAAGTACTTATTTTATGTTTCTGTTAATAACATATTACCATTTGACTTACAATAACCAATGTAAATGATTTGTGTTTCTCCTACAGAGATGCTATAATAATATTCAGCAAATGCTAAACCTCTGTTAAACTGCTATTCACATCAAATGCAAACATTGGAAAGTGTTTCATTCGACAACATAACAAGTTCCTTGTTGTGCTCTGCCTCCCCCATCAATGTTTTCTGTTTCACATTCGCGCATGTTCCTAATTGGGTGAAATGTTTCATTTCACAAGTGGACACACCCCCACAATATACACAACTAAACGGCATTTCTATTCTTGCTCACGAGAAATAATAATTTGGTTTCTCACTTCGTTTTTCTAGGATTTATAGTACTCTCTCTCTCTCGCGTTTTGTTTCTCTTTGGTAATGTTTATTTTTTTGGTGGGGAGCGAGATATGAGTACTAAAAGTATCTAGAGAGCATGAATGTCAATTGTACCGTTAGACTTTCGAAGCTCACACGGCCGACCTATGTTTAGAAATGTATCTAAAATAAAAAGTAATGTTGTCAATGACCCAAAGAGAAGCGGGGCTAGTGAGAGACAGAGATAAATATGTTGGGAGAGTTTAGGATAAATTCCTTAACGGTTCTAAAACAAATACTAAAACACGATTCTCGTGTCCTGTTTTCCTTTTTGCTAGCATCACATCTGCTGGCCAGTGAGAAGACATTGTTTACGACAACCAGCAGCCTCTGTCGTTTTAGAAGATAAAACCACCAATGTAGATAAAGGACTCAGCTGAACAAAACTGAGAAAACAAGACACGAAACGTGTTGTGAGCCGTAAAAAATAGAGATACACGACGAAGTTACTTTACAATTTTCAGTTATAATGATAATGTCAAAACGAATAGATGTAATACCCGACACGGAGTAGAAGAATTTCTAGCGACGCACATTTTTGCCGACCGAAAATATTTTTTTGAAAACAAAGCAGGAAAATTATACCGATAAGTGTTTGGGCATTTCAATGTCGAAAACAGCCAAGTGTCAAAATAAAAGAAATTCAAAATAATAATTTGCAGTTCAAATAAAACAACCAGTGAATAAATTATACATGATTTTTCGAATCGCTTGATAATTGCTCGTGTTATCACCATCAAAGACGACAAGTGTTGGGTGTTAAATTTGCAAAGCAATCGTTGCAGCTCTTTGTTTATGTTCTCGTTTTTGTCGTACGCCAACATCGTGTTATCTCGCATTTTCAAGAAACCGGGATTTAAGTAACACAGCTTTTTTTATAAAAATAACAAAAATCGTCAGACCAAAAAAATTTTGTAATCTAAAATTTCAAGGAAAAAAATATTGAAAAAATTAATATTGTGATTGTGCATTGTTTTGTGGTGTTGAAATCGTTGTGAAACAAATATTTCCAGTTTGAGTGCCATTGCCTTGGCTTAGAAGACATTCATTCCTCCCAAAGCTTGCCAAACAACAAGTATTGCAAGAAACAGGAGCAAAAAAATAAAAAATCACCAAAAAGTCATAACATAAAAACCCATAAATTTTCCTCAGAAAAATTCTTGTCGGAATCAAGTGGGGAAAACTTATTCTCTGGTTTCGTCTAAATCAGAAAAAAATATAACAACTTTCATAGCAGCAGCAGCATCCAGCCTGCTAGCCAGGCAATAAACATCATACCAAAGTTTGATTTGTAGTTGAAAACTAAGCAAAAAGTGTTTGTAAATGTGTGTGTGTGTCTCTTGTGTGTGAATGTGTAAACGACAGGCAAGCAAGCCAACAAGAAGTAAACCAGCAACTGAGCTAAACTGAAGGATCCTACTAAGAATTTCAGCCACAAATCATAAAGTTTATGATTTGTTATCCCATAGGTAAATATATAACGAATGAAAAAACTCAACAGAAACGTGTAACAAACAATTTCACAAAAAAGGTATTTTTTGGAAAATTTAAAAATAAAATTGAGAAATAATTCGACCAGTTGTTGCCCCTAAATTTGGCAAAATAGTTAAGGAGTAATTTTATGGGGAAATAATTTCTTATTGAAATTTGTTTTTCCAATACTAATGTTCTAGAAGACAAATCTAGACAAGCTATTCAGTTAAAAAAATCTAGAATAAACTCATGTCGAACAGTATGATTCATAGTACTACAAATAATAATATCATACACATACATGTAAACTTATATAGATTATAAAATTAGAATGCCCACAGAAGAAAATATTCATTTAAGTATCTAAATACCACTCAATATTGAATTGACACTGTGATGGTGTTCTTTATGTCAGTTGCCATGAATATAAACATAATCTCAGGGAAATAAATTCTCGATTTAAATAGTTTACATATAGAAACCGGTGTAGAATATGGCGTGGGCATAACTAAACAAAATATCTCAATGAAGAAACAGGAATTTGAAAGATAGACATTATTACTAAATTAAATCTTGAAAAAAGGAAGTAAATCAAAATTTTTGGAAAACAAGGTCAGTAGAGCAGGGATATAAAAAATGTTTTACCAGGAAGGTTTTTATTTTCTTAAAAAAGTGCTGGGGTTCATGTGACATTGTGACACCCTGCACCACTACATTTGATCAAAAGTTTTCGTACAGAGTAATTTATTGTAAATTTCAAGTAAGATTTTGCACACAAAATTAATCCTTAAGTGCTATAAATTATATAAGGGCAAAGAGGGCTAAAATATAAGTTGAATTTAAAATTATTGAAGGAAAATATGTAGAAAATATGAATTAAAACTTTTAATTAAATATTATTCAAAAACTGACACAAATGTTTGCTAAAACTTAGCGAGCCGAAAATGTGTTGCATTTCAACACTAGACTAGAATGAGTGAATCCCTCAAGAAATTGAAATACAGGTATGAACGATTTTAAGAATCATTTCCAATTTCAATGATACTATGATATTGAAATTGTTACATTCCTCACTACGAATAATCCTCATAGAACTAAAGCCTAAAATGTTTTCAAAGGACTATGTTCGCTAGAAGGACATATCATGTATTACATAGATATTAATTGTTATACTCCCCGAGCCATATGGCTATATCATTGATACGGCCAAAACGTGCCTAGTCAAAATAACGGTTTTAGACCCTAGATCACTTTGAATTAAATCCGTTTCAGGACATTTGGAGTCGATCTAGCTATGTCCGTCCGTCTGTCTGGCTGGTGTGCATGATAACTCTCGAGTATTGGATTTGGTTCACACTTGGTACATCATAATATTTTTTCAAACTTAGATCGAGTCCGGAGATGGGCAATATCGGTCCACTCCTTCCGGTATCTGCCCCACTATAGACCAAAAAAATCATTTAATTTTGTTCAAAATCTGCAAATCCTAATATATTTACTAGTGCTGAGTCAAGTGGGAAAATTGACAACATCAGCCCACCCAGTCAAGTACCTCGTCCACTAATTATCAAAATAATAATAATTATAATTTTTATAAAATGTGAGCTAAGAGTCTGATTGTGTATTAATTTCTCACATCTTAATATGTAAATCAACACAATATGTAGTGTGGGAATGGGATCTAATGGTGCAGTCTTTCAGATACCTCCACCACAAAGGGTCAATATTCTTCACTTTTAAAAAATGTGAAACAAGTGTCCCATGGTCTATACATGTTCACACATTCCAATTCTTTTACCATCTGGTACGGATGACCATTCTTCTAGTACCTCCCCCATACCTCCCCCATAATGGGTCAACATTTTGAACAACAATGACGCTCAAAAATGGCGCAATGAGCATACGATTTTTTTCAAATGTGGCACATTCTTATATTTCAATTAACACAAATTCTAGTATGGAGATGAAATATATCCCCATACACCTTCTGGTACCTCACCCACAAAGGCTCAAAATTTTGAATAATTTCTTACAAAATGTGACATTAAAGTCTGATTATCTTCAAATTGTACACATCACAATATGTTTACCAATCCTCCTGGTACCACTTATCATTATACCTCCTATCATTATGTAAAATAAGTTCTTGCCATCCCCACATATAAAATTTTAATACCTGAAGCGACTGAAAAATAAGGAAAAACTGAGTTCTTGGTTCATATCATTTACTAAATATTTTGAACGTATCCCTGACTACCTCGTAACATAACAATTTTATAGTCACCAAATCATTTATCAAGTGAAGGCCTAAATTTTTCTCCCTCCAAAATCGATATTTGGAACAATTGTCAAAGCCGTGAAAAAGGACCTAAATATGAAATATATTAAAATTTTAGATTACTGGGAGATATTTCAAAATCTCGTTCTATTCAAAAAAGAAAAAAAAAATGCGAGGATAATTTTTACCCAATAAAATTTCAAAATATCTATATGGAAAAACCTGACAAAAAATCAAGAAAATAACCGGTGAATTATTAACATTTCTTAAACCTTTGTGTGTTGGCCTTCTCACCTATAATGTAATCAGGGTTTCGCTTCAGTTTTAATCAAATCTTCTTATTATAACATTAACAAATAAGCAGAGACTATAGGCTCGCTATTGCCCCTACCATAAATAGTCCAACAACTCTACACTTTATTGGCCAAATAATGGTACTTTTAAGAAAATTATTCCAAATATCATGGCTTTCACAGGTAAAGGATAATATAATATATTAATTTGCAATTTATAGGTAGAATTTTGTCATTAATAAGTTCCAATTTTTGGAAAACCCCCTTAGGTCCAAACCCATTTTGTCCTAATTCGGTAATTTTTTATGTTTCTTTTCACAAGAGTTGTGGTCCGTCTTACACCAAAAATATTACCTGATGACCATTGAAATGCTCGGCTTCTTCCCTGACCTAATTTCTAACCTCATGCCAAATTCTGTGTCGACTGGTCTTTAATTGTGACCTGTAAACAAGTAAAAAAGTACCAGTTCATTTCTACTCCTTAATATTTTGGGCACATCATCAAAAAACAAAAGGCTTCTATTCTTACCCTAACACCATACTTATGAAAAAAATTGGTGAGGATCGGAAATTACTACCTGTATATACATAATACTCCCAAAAATAATATTGTAAGGTGAAATAATGCAAAATGTACAATTCCCTAACAAAAAAAAGCCACTTCTTATTGGAATATTTTAATATTTTGATATATATCCAATATATTTGCTATCAGCATTATGTAACGGTCAGAAGTGACCTTTTCGTGGATTTGTGATTTCGATTAAAAATATTCGAGGTTCAATGGAAATATTTGTATTTTTACACAAAAGTTAGATCAATTTCATCCTCTAACTGTGATCCGACCTGAAAAATCAGCAGAAAAATCTGTTTCTTTTTTTATAAGGCTCAATTTTTTTTGTTTTTTTACTTACATACAAATGGTTGTGACTTACTGTTCTAAAACTTAAGAATATAGCTGAACTCCATGTAAAATGTCGTGATGATCAGGCCATAATTGCAAACGGTAGCGTTATTCAAAGTTACATGCTTAAACCATATATCTATATCGACTATCCTCAAAATAGCGAAATCTACCACCAATATTAGGAGATGCTACACACTTTTGGCCCAACACAGTGTTGTGGGATATGGAAATGATCAAGAATATTATATATATATATTTTTTTTATGAAAGAAAATAAGGTTCAAATGTTGCAAAATGTGTACAAAAAAATTTAATTATTATACAGGCTGTGATTTTGTTAATATTCTTGAATTTTTGGGCCACTCTAATTTGTATGAAAAATGTCTTCTTTTTTATCGAGTTATCGATTCTCGATGGATTTCGAGTTGGAAGCGAATTTTCTAACTGAACATTCTATGTAAAACAAGCTAAAAAGCAGTAAGTTTGGCCAGGCCGTACTTTGAATCCCCTTCATCATTTGGAATGAATTGAAAAAAAAAAAAAATAAAATCCTTTAAAAATTCTGATAAAATCCCAAGAAAACCGAATACAGGGATTTATAGTTATTTTAAGGATATGAAGACGTGGGCCTGCATAGGCAATTTTCTGTCACAGGCTGTAGTACCCATGGGGAAGGTTAAATACGAAATTTGAAGCAATTTCAGAGAATAATGTCGCTACAATCATCAAAATACCGATATTTAGGGGCTGACCTGGAACTGCATAGACAATTTTCTCTCATAGACTGTAGTACCCATTACGAAGTGCAAATACGAAATTTGAAACAATTCCGGTGAATTTTGTACCTAAAATCGTCAAAATACCGAATATGGGGAGGTATCGATATATACGAAGACCTAGACCTGCAATGAAAATTATCTGTCATAGACTGCAGTACCCACTAGAAACTTCAAATACGAAATTTGAAACAATTCCGTCAATTAATGTCGCTAAAATCATTAAAATACCGAATATAGGGATGTAAAGTTATATGGGGGCTATAACCACACGTGGACCTATAGCCCATTTTCAATACCAAAAGTCCTGCAGACCAAAGACACATTTTAGTAAAATTTTATCAACCTACTTCAATTAGTTTGAAATCTAGAGTGGACAACCAGACAGACGGACGTACATCGCTAAATCGACACAGAATTTTAAGTTGATTAAGAATTTGTGAGGTCTTAAAAGTATATTGACAATCTTAATATACCCTCCATACTATAGTGGAGGGTATAAGAAATCGGTCTGCGGAGAGGAGCCTTTTTTGACTGTTGTTAAAAATTTGGTTCGAAATTTGGTATTTGGCGTTCGTAATAACCACTATTTCCACTGGCAGAAATGTTTTATAAATGTCCATGTTTTTTTTCTTGTAGCCCCTATGTAACTATTCAAAGTTAATGATTTTTGTAACATTTTCCAACGGGATTGTTTTGATTTTATATTTGAAGTTTGTAATGGTTACCACCTCCTACGACA